TTGGAGCGATGCTGATTGTGTAAACATGAGATGCTGTGATACGAGTCTCCTAAAGACACTCCCTGGTATCCCCATCCTCTCTCCAGTGTTTCTTGTTTCCTCCTGGGTGAAACACTCACAGAGAGAGGGAGGAAGGAAATCTTAGTACCTGTGAAGGGGCTGGAAAGCTGTTTTTCAGAAGCTCAGAAAGCAGACACCTCTTGGCCTGCCGTGTCAAATGTGCGTTAAGAAGTAGTGACACGATGGCAGCTGTAAAAGCTGCAGCTCATGGCACTGCTTGCTCCTGTCAGRGTTTCCAAAATAGCTTTCCACAGGGAAGTAGTTTACAGGATGAAAAAGACTGCAGTACAATATCTAGAGGGTGACCTGTGTAGTGAAAAACAGTGTTTTTTGGCAACTTGCTGCTGGATACTTAACATGAGTTTTGGGGATGCTGGAGCAAAGCAAATTGTTATGGCATGTATTGTTACCATGCCAGGAATATTTCACTGTGGAAAATCTCCTGCTACCMCTCCTTGAACATTTTTAAAGGATTATAGAAGTCTGAAATGCATTATCTCCTAGTTTTTTACTCTTACTTTCTGAAAACTCTACACTTCATTCCTTTAGTAGGTTATTTTACAAGTGTCTTTATTTTGACTGTTCTCTTGCTTCTTACTCCAAAGGACTGATTATGAGGTCAGTTTAATATGAAGTAAAACGAAAAGTAGTGCTATAAATTTAGGAAGAGTTTGGATTAGATTTTGGTATTTCAGCATCCTAATCAGAGGGCTGTGCATGCAAGGAGAGAACAGAATTTTTGTATTTCTGAGTCACAAAAAGTACCTTCTTTCCTAAGTCTGTGTATTCATAATTTTAGAATATAAATGATGGCTTCTGGTTTGCATTTACAAGTTAATAATGGCCTTGCTTAAGACTTCAGTTTATTCAAGTAATTCTTCATTGCCAGATAATGCTCTTTCATCAGTCAGTCACTGATTTCTGTAGATGCTGGAAGAAATAAAAGGCACAAATCTTTCTAAAAGCGTGATTTTTTCACCTGAAATGACCAAGTTTGGTTTTCTCTCTCTTTTTTTTTTTTTCCTTTAAAATGAGTAGATGACTGAATAGATAACATAATTGAATGTGTTTGTTTCTTAAATGCACTTCCATTATGAAAACAGCTTAGCAATAAATGTATATCCTCCAGTAAAGCCCCAGTTAAAGTTGTATGTTTTAATTACAGGTTTGTCAATAGATTATGGGGAGAACAAGCTTTACTGGATCAGTTCAGGAAATGGAACCATAAATAGATGCAATTTGGATGGTGGTAATCTTGAAATAATTGAATCAATGAAAGAAGACTTAACAAAAGCCACAGCTCTAACAATTATGGGTAAGTCCAGTGATAATATTCTTTTTTAAATTATTCAAAGCTAATTAATAATTAAATGTAAAAAGCTTTGGGAAGCTATTGTTATTTTATATGTAAATAATACATACAGTACATTGTGTTGTCTGTGAAAACAAGTTCTTTATATTTAATTGAGCAGTTTGTAATCTCTATTACAAGTACATTTCTAAATATAGTCTTGAAGATATATATATATGGGATGAAGGTAAAAAAAAATGGTGCCTTATATTTACTACAGTCACATGTAAAGAGTGTTGAAAGGAGAAGGAGCTGTGTTATGTTCTTTATTACACAGAATTATCTGTGACTTGTTTCCTCTGCTCAATTCTTCCTGTCTTGGTTCAGAATATTCCTAGTTTGTTGGATTGGCTGGCACTTTGTGGGGACTTTTTTGGGTAGTGAATTGATGATTGAGGATTTGGATTGCCAGATGTCTCCCAATAGTCCATATATTAAATTGGTTGAAAGAAAATATTCCGTTTGTTACACTTTGCAAATGAGAAATGTTTAGAATGTTCAAAAACTTCTGTCAAAAAAATCCAAAGATAGATGGCACAAAGAAAAATTCCTAAAAACCCCAACTAGTTGCAGATTGCTGATTATTATAAAATTATTCCTTCAAATGGGCTTTTCCTCATATGCACCTTCAGCTCCTTGCCTTGCTGTAGCTTGAACAGAGCATAGGAAGAATTTCCAGTGTGACTCAGAATTTATGTTTATGCTTTTGTTTTTCTAGAGATGACTTTAGAGCTTTCTGTATTTCATACAAATTGCTATTCTCTATTCTGGTTCATTTAAAAATTACTTATATTTATCTTGGATATTATTAAAAAAAAAGTTCAGTTGATAAACAGACTTTTCTTGTGATGTCTCTCAACTGCCATTCTTTTTATGGAGTATTTTATGTGATTGATTAATTACATAATAATTATGTACACATAGATGRTGTTCTAGGGAAAATTAAATAAAATCCAATGATTTCTTATGCACRTGATGTAAATTATGTCATCTTTCAAGTGGTAATTACTAAATTTGATTTATTATACACGCATTTGGCCAATACTGAACTCTAAATGCTGTCAGTGTCTGTTGGAGACRGGATTCTTTCATATGTGCATCCATAAACACAAGCAGGTTTGGTGTCAGAAGGAGTCATGAATGTTAATTTGGACAAATTGTCTTTCATTGATTGGATTGTGACTAGAAATAGAWTGGATAAATGCCCTTTACTCTGGGGAGCTGTTGGAAGTGTTTAATAGGAGGTGTAAAGAGTGTTTGTTCGTACTGTCACTGAGTTGGTGGTGGTGTCAAATCTTCACAGAAGCTACAGCAGTGATGATCCATCTGGGAGAGGGAATAAAGAGTTTATGGCTACCCTGTATAGAAGAGTGTGTGAGAGTAGTAGAATTTTTGCACATCTGGAGATGGAAGAATTTCTGCTGTGTAGTTTTTTAAACATATGTACCTCTAATATTCATCGTTTGGGATGTTCTGTTTTTATGGTTGATGGCAATTCTTCTTACTCAGAAATGCTGAACAAAATTTTCCAAGTGTTTAAGGGTTTTTGTTTGTTTTGCCTTTGGGGTTTTGTCTCTGTTTTGGAGTCATAGTTGTGCTAAACTGCAGTTCCACATTGCAGTGAGGTTCCGTGGAGAAAAGCRCAAGCACACACARTTTTATCAGCAGTRTTGTATGTGCTGATTGAAAAAAASGTGAAAAGTTTCTGTATTCATTTCTCCTGTAAATTCTCAATTGTGGAACATACTGTGTTTTCTTTAGGAGAATAAATGCCATTTATTTTCCTAAAGAGCAGTGGCKGTACATCAGCCTCTTATAAGCAGGCTTTTGTGCATGTAAAGTGGGTCAGAACAGAAAATCCAATCCCATATGAAGCAAGATAAGAGATCTCTGACTGATGAATGGTCATAACAAATAATGTATAAATAAAGAAGAATGACTAATTTGTTCTAATGTTAGCTTTAGCACGATAGTGTGTGAAAATTTACTACCCCCTGCTGTTCTGTTTGCCTACAAGTTTAATAGGAGTTCCTAGCAGGTGAATCACAGTAATTGCAMTGTTTATTGCATCATTTTTGCTCCATTTCCTAAATTTTCTTGACTGTTTTTATCTAAAAACACAGTAAACACAATAAAGCAACATAAGTGGAATATTTCTCCACTATGAATAGACTGAACTATCTTTTTTTACCATTTGAATTCATCAGTGACTGAAAAGAGAGAGATGATACCTGTGCCCAAACCTTGAGCTGTCTTGTAGTACTAAAGTTCCACTCAGTGCTGGAGARTCCAGTAATCTTCAGCTTCCCTTTGCATTTTTCTGTGTTTTGTAATTTTAGTGTCTCCCCAGCTAAAAGCAGTATTTTGGACAGTTAACTTTTTTTTGTTTGTAGTTGATCTTGTCATATTTCCACTGAGGCAAAAAGAGGAAAGAGGTTCATATTTTGAGACTCTGTACAGCTGTTTTAAGACTAGGTCTTATAGCTGGTCACTTGTTGATCACCAAAACCTTTATTGGATCGAAGAGCTGAAAGAAGGAAACWGTGAAGGGAACCTCAGTGGGTTGATGGGATGGAAAATGTGATCTGAGATAGCCCTGGCCAGCCAGGGGTAGGTGCACTGAAGGAGAGAGAATTTTCAGAAAAAAATACTGAATTTCTAGTAAATTTAATATACTACTGTGATGTCTCTTTGAGTACTTCAGTTGTTGCTTCTGAAAATATTTTTAGCTGTTTGTGGAGCATCTTGCCCAGCCATCAGTCTCCTTGTCAGAAAGCATGAGCTCACAGAGACTCCCAAGGAAAATCCCATAGTCTGTGTCAAGAGCTGATRCCTTCCATCCCTTGTCTGGACAGCTTTTGCACAGAAAACTCACAGATCTGGCAGTTTCCAGTGGCTTTTGCTGTATTTTATAGTTCATGTTCCAGAAGATTTTTCAGAACGATAAAAAAAGTGATGACTGGGAGAGGCTTGGCCCAACCAGGACTTCTTTTGTTCACCTTGGTAATTAATCTTTGGGCTGTTCTGATATCTTGAGTTTCCTAATCTTTGATTCTGTGTTTCAAAATTGGAAAAGAGAAGCAGTTTGGCACTGCATGGTTGTGTTCTGTGATGTGAACTCAATAGACACTGCTAGTGAAGTCAGTAAAGTTTTGGTTTCCTTTATAGCGCAACTTATGGAGTGGTTCAGAGCTTCACCAGCAATGAAAATTCTCCTTTAGCACAACCCCTCCATTCTCCCTGTTGTTTTTATTGCTTTCAATTCCTCTGTTTTAAYGTTGCCGTTTAGCTGTTGGAAGCCATTTGGAAGTTACCACTTCTGTTTCAGATGTTTGCTGTTGTTCAGTCCTTCCCAGGCTCTGTTTAACATTTTTCTACTATTGCATTCTTCAGTGGGAGCTTAGAGGAGGTAATGATAAGACATAAAGAATAATGTTAGCAAACAAGTTGGTGCAAAAGCAACTGTCAGGTTTATCCTTGAGGGAAATGGAAACAATATATAATKCACATCTTTCTGTGTTTTGGTTCTCTCATTTATTGGTTTTCTACTCAGCAGTGTCAGTCATCTTTCTTCTTCAATATACTGAGCAAAATTCCTAGTCTTTTGGTGCCTGCTTTTACTAAATCTTTTTGAGCATGACATAGATGGGATGAAAATTATATTCCATTTGAAAGCGAAGCATTTGAATATATACAAAATTGCTATCTTTCTATGCCTTTAAGCATGCAAAAATATTTTTGCTCTTGCCMTTCTGCATTGCAAAGAGGTGCTGTAAATCTGTGAAGTTGTATTTGCTCAATGTGCTCTTGCCACYTTTTCTTCAAGTATATATTTGCTATGTGAGATGTCTGTGTATGCAATATCAGCTATTTTTAATTAATCTATCAGTCAAAACCACATGAATGCTTTGTCTGGTATCTCCTACTGGTTATTGTCTAACATTTGGTCAACACTAATTTTCTCCTGTTACTATGTTAGCTGTGCATTTTAGTTTCTTCAAAGACCCCTGAAGTTTATTTCAGTCATTAAGAAGTTTATCTGATTCACAGCACTATGCCCTACATTATTTTCCACACCTGCTGCTGACACCATTTACAAGTTGATATCAAATATATCCACTGTTCTGAGAKTCAGGATATTCCATGTGAGAGAATCTCTGAATTTCTTATACAGTACAGCAAAACTCTTGTTGTCAATGAGAAAATATTTCCWACGCTTGTCTTAATGTTTGAATTTAATCTGAGTTTAATTTAAGCAGTTTTCCTGGTAGCCAATGTCTTGAGTGGGATCAAATGGTAAAGATGCATTTSGAATTCTGCATAAAGTCTCATTTCCTGCCTTCCAAGTTACTAAATGAAAATGGTTCCTTGACTCTAAATGAAACTGGTTGGGAATTTACCTTTGTGGTGAGAACTGTGTTTCTGGCTTGGTGAGCAGAGTCATTATTAATTTCACACAATCTGAATTGCAGAGGAGCTCGCAGCGATATCTGATGTGTTTCCAAAGTGGTGTGTTCTTTCTTGAATGATAAATGGCTCTGAAGGAGAAACTGGGCACTGCTAGAGAAGTATTGATTAGTTACCGTAAGACTGTGGCTGAGAAGGATGCTGAAGGCTTCTGTCAGTGATTTTGGTGAGGGCATTTGATTGGATTTTGGATCAGGTCCGCACAGAAATACAATTTGCACAAAACCACAAAATTCAGATCATGTCTCCATAAAATAAGAATATAATGTAGATTGWATAATGRGGATATAATTTGTTGTGCATTTGMTCTTTTTTTGGTATAAAATAGAGTAACTTCAYGTAGTAAATGACTTTATGTGCTATATAAGTGAATGATTTTAAGTTCTATATCTGTTGAAATTCATACTAAAAAAAATTCAATCAGCAATACAACAAAATCAGATATACATAATAACTTTTCAATGGGCATGAAGACATTAGAAGATTGTCTTTTGAACAAAAACTGTATATAAATATAGCCATCAAGTTGTATTATCAAACAATCAAAACAGAAAATAACAATTACAGTGTTTSATTTTAGACAGAAAATGCAGGTTAATATTGCCAAAATATATTCATGCTCCCATTTACTTTGATCATGCCATTAGATGATACATTGGTTATTTSATTTTTGTTTCTTCCTAAATAAAGTTTCAGAAATAACACCAGAATGCTTTCCTGGTAACTCAAACGGGAGAGAGCTGTGACTTTGCTGGATCCATTTGCAAAGTGAAAGGGGSTGCTTAGATCAGGAAACTTCAAACACACACACACCTTAATTTTCCAAGTCATCAGTCTTCTAATTGCCGTAGCACCATTCATTACATTAGCATTAATATATGAAATATATCTAGGCAATTTGCCCGGTTCTAAGTGCAGTACATAGTTGTCTTCCATAAATACTCAAACCACCATTAATGAAAACTAATGGCCCATCAAAATTTGCATTCAGAGTGCTACTTGGAWTCTCCAAAGGACTGGCCACAGTGCTAGGGTAGCAATTTTTGGCATTTGAAATGGCTCTTTCCCAATATGTTGCTGYGCTTAGTGCTAATTACCCAACAGAATGGATAAATACAACAATTTTAATATATATTATAACCTAGTTTCAGCAGCAAGATTGTMATTAGCGATTGAGCAACACTCTTGTTAGCATAATCAAGCAGATAAATCACTTCAGTTTGATTTTAAAGGTCCACATTTTTTTCTTCCCTTGTGTGTGAAAGCAAATTGTTCTTTTGCTAAAGTGTTTGTTTTTTTTTTTTTTGTAAAATCATCTACTATATTTTAAAATATTCAGAATACTTTTCATTTCATAGATTCTAGTCTTATCATATATCTGTGGATAGTATATTTTGTTTGGTTTTTTTTTCCCTAGTTATTTTATTTAGTGCTGTAACTTTTTACAATTGCCACAGTGTAAATTATTTTTCAGCTCTGCACTTTCTGTCGTAAAACACTCAACTGTGGGGCTCTATGAATTAGTTATTTAAATATTGAAACTACAGCATAGGCAAAAATTCTTTTAACTAAAAAGAAAATCAACTGAAAGTGGAGKTAATACACATTATTTGGAAAGGCAGTGTTCCCAAAGTTTAAAGGTTTTCATTGTAGGGTTTTTCTTTCGGTTCCTCTACAGTAATAACCTTTTTGGTCTGAAATGAAGAACCATCTCCTCTTTCATCTGAGTGGACTCTTGGAATGAGGACTCATGTGACAAGGACAACCAGAAGACTGGCTGCAGTCTAAATTACAGTGGCCATTAGTTCACTGAAGTTTGAGCTTGATATCAAAACTGTTAAAATTTAAATTCTGAAACATTGGGATACAGAGCCTGATTTTCATTTTTGTCATTATTTCTTAGTTATTTATGATATTTTTTTTTATTTATTAAAGATGTGGTTTTGCATTGCAAACAGTTCTGTTTACTTGTGAAAATTAATTTCTTTCCTAGTAACAGTCGAATTTCCATACATTAATGCAAAATGAGGCACTTTTTCTATGGTGATAGACTTAAACCAGCAGTTGCCACAACAGAAGTGAAACTGTTGAAAACTTTTCATGTCTGCAGAATCTTAATAACAATTTCTTCAGATTTTCTCTATAACTTCTTTAAGCAATTTCCCTTAAAGCAGCTCTGAGAATGAACCTCAAAAGCTTTTATCCACCTTAGGCTTCAACCATATACAATTTCATAATGATCCTCTAAATTTTTAAAACTTGGGAATTTTACAGATAAAAAGCTTTGGTGGGCAGACCAGAACTTGGCTCAGATTGGCACCTGTAATAAAAAAGATGGAAGAAACCCAACTGTATTGAGAAACAAAACTGCAGGYGTTGTTCACATGAAAGTGTATGACAAAGCAGCACAGCAAGGTAAGGCACATTTTAAGTATATTTAACCAGCCTTTAAAGTTCAGAGTATCTTTTCTCATGTTATTCTCCAAATGTGAAGAAAAAAAATATGTATTTCTTTGTAATTCACTGATAAAATATATTTTGATAAAAGTTCCTTGGTTTTGAATAARTTASTGAATATRATAGGATAATTGATWTAGCATATCTGCCTGATAYATTTTAATTCATCAGATGTTTACAYTAAAATGAAGTTTTAARTTSTTTTAGARAGCTTAAARTTTTTAGTAMAAAGAAAAAAGGTTTMGYGTGTGAACAGCATGTCAAACTGTTGAAACTTTAAGTGAAGTATTATGAGAGAATTCATTAATATTCTTCATTATCTGTTTTAAAATCACAGTTTTAATTCATYTAAGTTGACAAAAGTGACAGTAGTATACATCAAAATTGAGGCAGCAGAAAAACAGGGGAATATTGTTATTGCTGCCAAAACTTRGCTGGCACAGTGGGAGCTAAGAGAATATGAAAATGGTGTAATTTGGGGTCAGGCACACAGGCAAGTAGTGCTCTGATTTTTGGAGGATTGGTGACTTGTAATCAACCAATTCCTTGAATATCTTAGTGGATTTAAATGTTTCTTCATGAAGTTTCAGATTTCTGAGATGTGTTTAGTTTATAATGTGTATAATGTTTATTGTAAATCTTATTAAAATATGTCAGTCTACCACTTAAAAGTAAATACTGTATTAATTAAGTTGTTAGGAGCACAGTTTTGTGAGATCACTTTGGAGTATGTCTTAACTATATTTAAAAAGCCTGGATATGAAGCTAACAAAATTAACATAACATTTGATTAATGAATATAATATAATCATTGATTTGCTCATGGTATAGAACAAGTTACACTAATGTCAGTGAGATTTCATCATTAACTCAATGTAGAATTTTCAGGTTTTTTAAATGATTTTACTTTAAAAAGGAAAATTTTTAGAAAATGGAATTATTTATATTCTGAGGAGAAAAGTGTGAATAAAATGCTGCAGCAGTGAAGCATGGRAATGCACATGAATACATGAAATATTTTACACGTATCTCAATTTTTCAGATAGTTATCTGAACAAAATTTGGGAATAATAATGTACTGATGACAACAGTTATTTTCCATCAATATTTCACTGTTCAAGTTTTGCTTTCTCTCACTCTCTTCTCCCATCACATCACAGGAAGCAATTCCTGCCAGTTGAACAACGGGGGATGCTCCCAGCTTTGTTTGCCAACATCAGAAACCACCAGAACTTGTGTGTGCACAGTAGGCTACAACCTTCAAAAAAACCGCATGGCCTGCAAAGGTGAAGTGACTTTCAGTATTTATTTTWACCAACTGAAATTCCAGGGGAACATTGTAAGGAGCAAATAAACTGATTTTAACTAATTTTAAGTTAAATAACTATACGTAATATGCTTGATTGAARCAGTAACACAGAAATGTCTATTGTGGTTAGGACAAATAAGTTTAGCTTTTAATTTAGTTATTCAAATATATAAGTTTTTGTGGGAACTGAGGAATTTGAGGTTTGTTTTTTTTAATGTAGGCAGAAGAGCAGGCCCTCTGAATCATCGTTAATAGCAGCAAATATTTATTCAAGGTCATACACCTTATCTTTAAACTAAATTATAGGCTACAAGTATCTGAATACTTGTAACTACTTGTAACAACTATCAAGTTGGGTGTCTCATCCTATTGTATTGTTTTTAATACAGAATAAAGCCATTTTTTTTTTCCTTAAAACTTTTTCTATTAAAGTTGGCAAAAGTCAGAACATAGCTTTCAGCCAAAGTCTGACTCTTTGCCTGAATACTACAAAACAGCCTTATGGTCAAGGTGCCTTCCAGTTTTATAAATTTAATATTATTTATGACTGTTAATTAGGACTAATAATTCCTGAGACTTAATACATAAGAAAACTGTTCCACAGTAGAATTGATTCCTACTTAACAGAAATAGTTGCATTTGGMTTAATCTRACACTAAAGGAGGTATTTWAGATGCATCAGCTGMATTGGTCACTAAAAGTGCATTTCTYTCTCCTGTCTGTGAAGGAAATGTGAATAACTGAGGTGGGATGAATCCCATGCCTCAAAAGACAATTTACTGTCCTGCTTTCCACAAGTTCTTTACAATTATTTCTCAGTTCTCATAAGCACAGATGTGCACTGAAAATATTCTTGTAWTTCTCATAATTCAAAACTTCTTTAGTTTTAATTTTCATTACTGCTAATAACTTAACTATAAGGTGGTGTTTGAAATGGGCAATGATTCTGTTCTCTTTATGGACCATATTTATAATTTAATTAGAAATAGTTCATAATAACTTTTTTTTTTTTTTTTGTCAAAGAGGTGGAGTTATCACTCTGGAAAACCGTGGAGCAATATTGGAAAATTATCTCTAGTGTATTCTAGCTCTTCAAATTGTGGTGTTTGGGAAAGTTTCTACTTTGCTGTCATTGGCTGCTTTATCTTTCCCATAGGTATTGAATCATTTCTSATGTATTCTGTCCATGAGGGAATTAGAGGAATTCCTCTTGATCCAAATGATAAAATGGATGCTTTAATGCCTATTTCTGGGACTTCCTTTGCTGTGGGCATAGACTTCCATGCAGGTAAATATAATGTATAATTTATTGTATGTATGGTTAAAATTGTAAATTCTTCTCATAAATGAAATAACCCCTCGTTTTCAAACCTTCTAAGTAATTACAATTGCATTTAAAGGAATTGGAAATGGGTCATGTTACAGAGTTAAGTTCTACCTTTGATTTTACAGTAAATAGGAAAGCCTGTATTGTGCACATGTAGATAGTTCTGGCAGCAGCAGCTGCTCTTTTTTGTTGGAGTCTCTAAGAATTTGATTATGAAGCTGCTGGTTTTACAGAAAGAGAGTTCCTTAGTCTGTAGGAAAGCAGGTTTCATTAGTTCCTTTTTCACAGAAAAAGGCTTGTTCCTGCTATGACACTTCTCCCAAGGAGTTTTCCTAGTCCTGTGTTTTGTTGTACCGGGCAGGTGGCTTTGACAGCTGAGTGGGACAGTTTTCTCCCTGTCCAGCACAGCTCAGCCACTTCCCTGCWGGGCAAAAGCCAAGGCTGGATCTGTTTCTTCCTTCTGGAAGATTCTCTGACAGCCTGAAAAGCAGGCATTTCCACCTGGAGTGCAAATACCTACCCTTCCACTGTATATACAGAAGTAGTTTTTAGTTTACACAGCCTCACAAATTTCTTAYGGAATTAGGATGTTTCAAATTGGCGTGTGCATGAATGAAGTTGGGAAGAAATTGAAGATCAGATTCTGAAAGTGTTTGGATTCATCTCCCAGTGGTGTTTGAATATCTTCAAACATGTTAACGATTTTTGATTAGCTTTTGGAAAATAAGAAATCTGTGACCAGGTAGTGACCTRAAAATTATCCTGTGTCTCTSTATTTTWAACTCATCAGCTCTTTGGYCAGCCTTTCTTTGAGACTYATTTKGTTACCCATGAGTTTAGAAACTGGMAGTCTAGAAATAAAATCTTAAGTTACCTCTGTTATATAAACACAGGCATTGCCTTCTTGAAACATACAATTATTTTGTCATACTCCATTGGTTTTTGTTTTGAAATAAAATCTGCCTGGAAATTCAGCACTGAAAGTTCTAATTTTCTTGCTTAAGTATATGTTGATATTTTCCTTTGTATTAAAATCAGGCCTATTTCTCTTGGTTCTGTTGCACTACTTCGTCATGCAAATATCACTAATTTCYTGTTTACAGGTTAGAAATTAATTAATTGTCTTCTCTATTTTTGGCCTGCTTCTTTGATATGTTCTTGCATCTCTGCCTAGCAAAATTTCAAGTTCTCTCAACATTTTAYAGTGCCCTCATACTTGTATATTTTGCTTTCAAATCAGTGACAGTTGATGTTCAGAGTTTTTGTTGTATCATGGGTATAGCCCAGTTACAGTCTCCAGAGACATAAAAATCACCTAAAAGCCAGTGCTTTTTTACACACCTGAGATGGGAAAGACTCTATCTCTAAAAGAGATTTCAGCTGTCCCTGGAAAGAGACAGGAGGAGAGAGGAGTGATAACTACACATGGTCATGACAGAGAGTAYCAAGACAATGCAATTGGGTTTTCCAGGAACTGTATTTAAAAAAATATATAATACCCTTAATTATTATTTTTTTTTAAAGTTATGGAAACTGTACAAAATTATGATACTTATACAAAAGCTGAAAATTTGACCTTTTCAATTTAAAGTACCACTGCTAGGTTTTTATTGGCTATTTTGCGTCTGATATTTTTTGGTTTGGGTTTGTTGGGGTTTTTTTGGGTTTTTTTTTTTGCATAGTCATAAGATATGCTAGGTCCTACTTTAGAGAGTTTTATTCAGACTTACCTACTAAATACCAAMTTAATATTTAGGAGGAATATGATTTTTGGCTTTTTGGAAAAATGAGATTTGAGGCAGGGTGAAATTGAGTGAGGTTCTCCACCTTGGCTTCTGATCAGTTCCAGCACAGGAAACGTGAATAGAATCAGCACTGACAAATGCATTGCTAAAGATAAATGTAAATGGCAGTGAAATCATGTAGGGATAGTGCGTTATAAAAACGTTACAGTACAGCTTTTAAACTGCATTTCAGCTTGAAAACCAGCTGTTTTTCTCATTTTGGTTCCTTAAACTGAATTTTATAAATTCATCCCCAAAACCTACTTACATCAAATATGATCCAGAAGGCAAGTGGAGGTAATTTCAGAGTCCATATTGTTTCTTTATTTTCCACTTAGTGAGTGTTTCTTACATTTCGCATTTATTCTGGAAGGATTCCCAAATTTTGCTGTTCTCTCAGTAGTGTTTAGGTGTGCAAAGTGGATAAAATACATTAACATATGTTAATGGTACAGAGTATCATAATTAAAAATCTAATGGCAATGTCTTTTGCAGATGTGAACAATCTAGGAGATACATACATCTTTTTTCTTCCTGTGTTTTGATACTTCTAAATTCTAATTAGCAAATAAGCAGCAAATGCAAGATTCATATTTGTTTTGATTACTTGAAGTCAGGCTTTGTCCTTTGTTTAATTGGTACTGTGGTAAGATTCTTGAGTGTATTGAACTGCTTTAGTCTCAAACAACTCTTATATATATGTAGATATAAAATATTTATATCTATTTATATTGGGAATATTTCTATCCTGTTTATTAAAATATTTATGTTCTGTAAGTACACACACTGCATTATGGAATTAGAAGCAGATATACAAAGGAAAAAAAAAAAAAAATGATGAAGGAATAAATATTATATAGTATCTCTGAGCAATGTTTTTCCGAAACAAAACATCTCACTCAGGAGGTCATCAGCTGACTGCTTTGCAAGGAGAATATTGGTTGCAGCATATCTAGAGAACCCTGTCAGTGGAAATACAGACAATTCTGTGTGAGGGATGTTCTCACTTTGTTTYCCCCATCTCTTTTTTGAGGTTATTATGTGCCACAGAGGGGAGTGTGAGGGTCAGTGCTTGGTCCACTTTAAATTCTCAGCCTGGCTGTTGAGTTTAAATGGCCAAAGTGATCCTCTTTTCCCACCTTACAGACAATCACTGTGGCAGAAAGTTTGGGAGAACAACTGAGATACCTTGAAATGCAAAAAAAAAAAAAAAAACCCAACCAACCCAACTATTACTGGAAGCTTGTCAGGACATTTAGAATAAAAGCTGAATTGTGGATGGAATTTTTTTTTTTTTTATTCTTTTGTCGGCAAATCACTCTCAAATGTCACTTTTTATTTCCCTAGTTAATTTTTTCTCTTATACTGTCAAAATTTCATGTTTCTGATTACTGAAGGAAAAGACTGTATAAGCAGTTTTACACTGTAGCTTTTCAGAGTCCCAAGTATTTTGGAATGGCGATAAACAAAATAGTATGTATTTTAAACATTTATTCCATTAGGGAAAAAAGTAGAGACAGCATATTTATTGTGATTTTATTTTTACAGAAATAGTAGCTTCCAACTGTTGTCATGGTCCTATTGTGCCTCATGTGCAGCACTAAGCAACCATAGAAAACCTAGAATTCTAGTAGATTTTAAATAAAAATTTAGGAAAAGGAATGAGGAATAAAAGCTGATAATTTTGACACTTCTGCTTAGTATAATACATATTAATAAAGCTATAACTTGCAATTTTTACAGTTCCTAATGCAGATACTTGGACTGAAGTAAGTGAATTAATCTAAGAATCATTGGCAYGTGTTTTATAGGAAATGATACAATCTATTGGACAGACATGGGTTTCAACAAAATYAGCAGAGCTAAGAGAGACCAAACCTGGAAAGAAGACATCATCACAAATGGTTTGGGGAGAGTGGAAGGCATTGCAGTGGACTGGATAGCAGGTAGGTGTGAGCCTGCTCCAGGACATGTCCTCGTTTCTGAGAGCACACTCTCACATCTTCAGCCCAAGACTAAATAACTTGGYTCCCTTTCAGCTCTAATTTCTAGTCTGGAAATTGTTTATATATCTGGGATGGCACTTTGGTGTTGAAACTTTGGTTTCAATACCAAACTTTGGTTTATGCTCTAAAAAGGCTGTATAGGACTATAAATCACAAATATAAGATACATGCGGATAAAAATCCAGCAGATATTTTCTGCCTTTAACTTACACACTTTTCCAGGAGCCTTTCCTTCATGCAGTGACTCCGAGGTGCTTTTCCTAGGTAACATTTATTGGACGGATCACGGCTTCAACCTGTTGGAAGTGGCGCGGCTGAACGGCTCCTTCCGATACGTCGTCATCTCGCAGGGGCTGGACCAGCCCCGCTCYGTCGCGGTGCACCCCGAGAAAGGGTAACACATTGCTGCTAAAGTACACAGAGCTTTCTCCTTGCTCTCTCTATTCGTGGCATGCTGTAATGTCTCTGCAAAACAGTTTTAATTTTCTAAGGAGTTTCACCTGAAATTTAGGCGTTGCTTGGAAGCGCGCTTGAATCTGAAGTTCCCAGCAAACCCCAGGAAGCCACGTCAGCTCAAGAAGGACCTCGTGGTGAAATCGCAAATCCTTGAGAGTTATAAACTCCAGGATTATGTAATAACCAGGGAGACTGCCCAGGGCAGCTGATAGTTGTGTGAGATCAAGGCTGTGGATTGGAAAATAAGGGTTGGAAAGTGTGACATCTGTATTCACCCAGCTGATTGTTGAGGGCAGGGAGCGCCCTGCAGAATGAGCAGAAATAGGGAATCCACAGTTCCCTTCCACTGGTGGAATCCCCATCCCTGGAGCTGTGCAAAGCCAGGCTGRGTGGGGTTTGAGTGACCTGGCCTAGTGGAAGGTGTCCCTTTAGAGCCCTATTTAGAACCCTTCAGCAGGATGAGAGGGCTGCAGACCACACTGTTCTACCAGACACCTAAAACAATTAGTATCTGCTGTGAAGCAAGGTATGCTTCATCTATTTTATAACACCATGCCACAAAATGATAATATGAGATCTCTCCAAGCAAAGTTTCTCCAGGAGAAGCACAGCAGCATTTTGCTGGTGAAGTTCAGGTCTGCCTTTCTCTGGGAAGATTAAGGCCTTTCTTACCCTTTCCATTATTGTTTCGTCTCTTCCCCTTTTCGAGGCGAAACTTTCAAAGGTGTTCTTCCCTCCCCTTGCCCTGACTTCACATTCTGCATTCCTCTGGAAGCTTGAGTTGACAGCTATAAGAATAGAGTAGAAAATAGCAGTTATTAGAGCTCGTTGAACCTGCCAGTTATGCCAAGATGGGAAGCAGGCAGCATTCAGTGGGTTGGTGACATTATTTATTGTCACTGAGGAAAAAGTGAGGA